GCAGACAGCGAAGCATTTACGGATGTTTGAATGTTTCGACGCACTTCTGTGAGCCTCCTCAGTGAAGTTCTTCCCGAATAGGTGGTAACGTTTTGTCGTAGTTATAGGAGCATGGTGAACAACTTTCTGTTCGAATTGTTTGGGTATGTTCTGTCTTAGCTCTGTGAGCGTAGTGAATCACTTTTTTCCCGGCTGGTTGGTAACGTTTTGTCGTTGATCTGCGAGCATTTTTAATAATCTTCTTTCCGATTGGTTGGTAAGAGCGCTTTGTTTTGGCTGTCACAGGCACTCGAGTCGTTCTATGCGACAAGCCTGCGTGAGGTACTTTGCGTGGTCTTAGGTGAGGGGGTGTATGGGCCAGGATGATGGGATGTTACGTTCCGAGTGACGTTTACTGTAGTCTTTGTAATTACAGAGTGAGTAAACGTCTTATTGCTAGTGATTGCTACGGGTTTTGTTGTGTGGGCTGGCACTTGGGGAGCAATTGAAGGCCTGGTATCAGCGACAGTGGGCAGGGGCTGCTTATTTAGCATTGTCGTCTTTTTCTTCTCTTGTTTCGCTGGGTGTGCTGTAGTCGTTTGGAAATGGATGACTTTAGAGATAGGATTGACAGTAGAATATTTTCTGACTACGGATGGGGTTGGCGAAGTAACCACAGGCGGTGAAGGAGTGGTAGTTTTTGAGGACCAATTGGGAGGTGACTGAGGACTTGGGCGAGGCGTGGTGAACATATATGACAGTGGATAGGCCACCCTTACTATTGTTGTGGCAGGCATGATAACTACAGTCGCTGGACGCGCCCCGATTTCAGTTTTATTTAGGAGCTTCATTGCTGGCGCTACACTCATTGGTCCATGTCGCACTACTGGAGATGAAATTTCCACTACCGCGGGGCTCGCTGACACAGTAATTGAAATGAGCGTTGTGTTCATTCTCAGCCAACTGTCTAATTGTTTTTCTGATAGACTCGGCTGAAGGCTGAAAGATAACTTCTTTTGCACCAGTGGTAAAGGGGGAATGAATATGAAACACGCTGTGGCCACTTGAGATTAGAACGTGTTTTGTGCTGGAGATGTTTGCGGCTGTGTATTGTGGGACTATCAGTGGCATTGAGAACGCCCGAAGGAGGACCACGTGATGGTAGTTTTAAGCCATACTGTGGTGGATTCGGAATGTTATATACCGTGTTAACTGGCGCATAGACAACGTGGGGAACACTGTCTTTTGTTGAATTACCACTGGCATTGAGTACGACAGGAGGATGGCCAAGGGGTGGTGGTATGAAGGCATAGTGCGGTGAATTCAGAATGTGATATACCGTGTTAACTGGAGCATACAGAACGTGGGGAACACTGTGTTTTGTGGAATTACCAGTGGCACTCAGAAAGCCAGGAAGAGGACCGTGGGACGGTGGTTTCAGGTCAAACTGTGGTGGGCTTGGAATGTGGAATATTGTATTAACCGGCGCATAGCCAACATGGGGAACGCCGGGTTTTGTTGAACTACCAGTGGCACTAAAAAGGGCTGGAGAAGGAGCATTAGGAGGTTGTTTTAAGGCATAGTGTGGCGGATTCAGAATCGAAAATACTGTTTTTGCGTGTGAATACAGAACGCGTGGAATCCCGTTTGTGGTCACTGTCACCACCTTGCTTTCATCATTTGGGGAGATTGCTGCCGCGCTATTCATCGCGTTCGAATTCGATGCCGTCATCGGAAGGGAGCCTAGCGATACGTTGGTACCAGGCGGAGCATTCAAAATTATAGCAGTTGCCGTCTTTACTCTCGTAGGTTTTTCTACGACTTTCGTTATCTCGATCTTCCTAGTGTCGTCGTTGTCCGAAGTTACCACCATGGGCGCTGAAGCGGTTAGCTGAGGGACCAAATACGGGAACCGGTACCAAGCGAAACTTGGGTTGGCCAGTGCTTCTTCAGGCAAAAGTTGCGAAGCTTCTTCAGGAAAGCCCACGGTGGTGGGCACGTAGGTGTAAACGACATCGCTGATTGCACCGTCGGTGAGCACTAGAGCAAGCAGTGTAAAAAAGACGGGAGAGGATCCCTGAAAAGAAACATGAGTGCAATGTATTGCTATTTAAACTTTGTTGCCATAAAATGTAGTAATATTGTTAAGATGTTGACTAGCAACGTGTGAAAGACATTTTATAGGCAGCCGATTGATTTCTCTGATGTTTCCTTTGACTCGCAGAAAATGGCACCGCTGAGTGCGCAACTTGCTGGAAGTACTCAATGAACAGATAAACAGAATATATTAAAGTTTTACTCTCAGCAATATGATACAGCAGAATAAAGTATGACAGTTGTGCAATATGATGTAAACTATGGTACAACTTTCTGAAACCCTTCACTAGCACTTGCTCCTTGGATGCATTGACTTTTTCCATACAAAATACCTTACTAGCATTACAGAGTGAACTTTTTTGAGAAGCACTGTCTGCTGGGCGAGTTGGTCATTCATCTTAACTGAGGCGTGCGAAAAGATTGAAGCTCTCTTCTTTTTGTGCTTCAATTTTTGCCGCACCTCCGTTAAAGAAACTTCCTTGTACGAAAGTGTTCATTATCTCTGTTTTGACTCATTTTCTGCCTTGTTTTCGTGAGAGCTTTTGGTTCTTTAGCTATCTCTTCAGTTGGACGTGTACATCAGTTTTTTATTGTGTGTTTGTTCAAGACATTGAAACTTTGTATCCGTATACTTTTTGTCACTACTGTTTATAGACGTCCGCTCACCACGTCTTGAAATGATAGGTCTTAGTTTGAAAGTGCAAGCTCTAAGATAGCTATCTATAACTTTTACCCATATTTTGAATGCTATATGATGTATGCACTTTTGAATGTTTGTGTAATATTACTACCAGCATTGATGTTATTATGTATACGATTGTGCATGTCAGTGCAAATTAATAACCAAATGGTCAAAATTTCCGGAGCCATTTATCATGGTGTGTCTTATAATCATGTCGGGATCTTTGACGTCCATTTAATGTTGCATTGTTCTTACTCTGCTGTATTTTCTGTTGTGTTGGCAGCCAGCAGAGTACTGTAGAGCATTTTGGTTAACCTCCCGGCCTTTCTTTTCTCACTCTCTCTCTATCTATTTGTAAAACAATAAGTTTTTATCCTACGCTCATGTCTCGAGCAGCTATTCAAAAGATTCATCATATGCCTTCATCAGAATCCAGAAGTCATCAATCGGTACCAATGCGAGTGATTTAAAGCTAAAAAGTTGAGATCCTTGATGACGTATGCAGAGAGGCTCAAGTACATTGCCAACTTATCATTTCCACTATGATTGCGCGCACAATCCTAGGCAGCGTCGTTTCTTTTTTTAAGAAAATTGTTGGCCATAAAGCATGTTGTGCAAACAAAGAAAATTTGTACTGCATATTTGGCTGCATCCAACATTTTTTTCATTTCAGCATTGAACGTGGAAGTAATATCGCATGCGTAAAAGCATATTTTACACCTAAATGAATACATCTATGCGCGTAGGGTAAGTAGAAATTTCGTAGGAGCATTTCCACCCAATACTGTTTATGACTTTCACACGTAACGCATTAAAAGTCATGGGTACCCTACGCAAAACCCCATATGATACATGTGCCTCATATCCTGTAATCTCGTAATAATCACAAGCGCCAATCATATGCATTTCTGTATGATCATGGACAATTTTAATATATGGGTCATATGTATTATATGATATTTTTTATTGGAAGCAAGCAATTCAGGGTTTTTGCTACTAAATGATATTAGTCCTGAAAAGTATTGAAGAGTGTCGCACCACTAACATAAATATCTTTCCTTTTTTATCTTCAATAAGTCTGCGACTCGCCTTAATATGATATAGCTATCTTTATAGAACGAAAAGCCTATGAGAACTCAATGTTATTGAATAACACTTACCATTTGGCAAATTCTATGACATCAATGTCGCAGGGCGTACTCCACTTCTGGCGTAACTTACGATGTTCTATATCCTTGCCTTGTTTTCCTTGGTCTTGCGAAAACTACAGCTGAACAATTGTGATTGCACACAAATCTTTCAAATAAAAAAGTAACCTAAAATGCAATCATTTGTTTTATTTGTTTTCATGAGTGAGAAATAGAACTTCTCTCAGAGATCTCCTAGGAACTCCATAATAGTATCCCCGCAAACTTCACTTGAGTACACGTATCTCTGGCACTTTTATTTTTTCACCTTCTGAATCAATCACAAAAAAAAAACACAAAGAGTGTGAGAATCAGTTGTAAGGGATGTTTATGGCTCCAGTGTTATCAAAACATCCATAATCACACAATGCCCCTTGACTGCCCGTTGACAAAATCGACCTGTCCAGTGATGTATGCCACACTAACGGCTCCAACGCGAGATGGCAGTTATTTTCGTTTTAAAAGCAATGCATCTCAATAAATCCACAAATACTGAGAAACATAAGGAAAGCTGTACACAATGCTTGACTGTATGGAACAGTTAGAAGCAAAAACAAGGGTTTCCGTCCTAGCGTACGTGCGAGAACAATAGAGTTCTTGGGGAATTTTTTCTAACGCAAGTGTGTAAAGCTGCAGCGTTGACGCCCTGTTTACAAATAGTGAAATATAAAACTACTGCTTTTCTTTGCGGCAAGATAAGTTAATCTACTAAAAGATGGCAGAATTTAAAAGGAATCAACAGCAGAAAGGAGATAGTTAAAACCAAGGTCTCTGTTTTGTCACTGCGTCTTCAACACCGCTGTTCTGCTACACGAGACCAATGCGTTCTCTGCGAAAGTTGTAGAGCAGTTTGCATTTAAGTCATTCATCAAAATTGACAACCAGAGATATCAAAAGCGTCACTACAATGCCAGGTAACGTCGAGTTTTCTCGTCAAGAAATATTTTTTTTGCCGTTTGTGCACACTGTCCTGTTTTAATGAAATGCCCCTAATATTCTTTAAACACTTATAAAAGGAACAAGGAGAGAGATTTTTTCGTTACTGAAAACTTGAGTCGAGGAAGGCGACATAAATATAAGGTGCCGTACATTACTTTGACGTGGCTTGTATTCCGGCGAAACAGAAGGGAAACTATGGTGAGAGTTCATTTTCGAAGTACTACCTGTCTGCTCATTGCGATCGTCCTGTCCCGTCTGCCGTTCAGGTGTTCTCGGTGAATTCACGCTTTCTAGAACAGAATGTAAAGCACACTTGCTAAACGCAAATATAAATGAGGAGAACTTGAGTTTGGCCTAGTTGGTGCTTCCTTTTCAACATATCGACCGCACAAAAAGGACGCGTTTCAGTTGTCGAGCGTTATTCAGATTACATTATATCATTCCAGGCCTTATTGCTGTAGTCACAACACAACAAAATGCAATTTATCAATATATCCTAAGACTTGTGGGAACTTTACACGTTTGAACAAAAAGTAACCTTCCAGCAACAATGAAAGGAAATGCTTCTACACTTGCGCGTGAAATGCCCAATAGCTGTTCTGACCGAGACGAATAGAAACAAAATCCGTCATTTTATCTTGCGCAGTGGCGTGTGTAATTGTAAAGCAGAACCATAGAATGTTCTTTGGCGAGAACACAGTATGTATACTCAATAGTTACTTGTGTGCTAGAATTTCATTTGATTGCGCCATGTTTTGATGCAATAGTGCATGCTTTATCTATGTTTTCCCATTACATAAGTAAATTGAGGAATTAAACTCCGTATCGTATTCGCGGAATTGTACTTGCCGCTCCATAGCTTCAGAGTCAAGAACCATTCAGTGTCTCTCCGGCTTTTTCCATGGAGTTAAAAGTGCTTTAGTCCCGCATACTAAGATTTAGGTGCACCTTAAAGAACTCCATGTGGTCTAAATTTTTCCCAGAACCATATGGGGGTTTCGGAATGTTAAAATGCCTCAATGTAGCTGTGTATGCCCTGAGGAAATCCTTCAGAAGAAGAATTGAACCCATGGCACCTAGTGGACGTTGAAGAAACTACGAATGTTTCAACTTACGAAAAAGCCTTGCTTCCACCAAATATTTCTGCTGGTTGAAAAAAGGCCACATCTCTCCGGGGTGTAGATAAACAAGTTTCCTAAAGAAAAAAAAATATGGCCCCGTATCTGCATGTTAATCTGCAAATGTCATGGAAAGACGATAGTCTTGCGTTTGGAGAGATTGAACAAAACGTTTATTTGATGTTCTGCGCAAGAAAATTGGTGATTAGCATTCTTGAGGCACTGCGTTATAGTGCCTTGAGCGTGCAGCGGAGGCGAACGAGCGCACCAAGTCACGTCACACGTGAGACATGATCGCTATCTAGCAGTTATCTTGGAAAATAAAACACGCGGTTCCGAGACGGGCATGCACGTCAGTCTCAGAATTGATAAGGTGTAGAACGCAAGGCCACAGGTAAGGTGCCACGACCATGTCGTTTCAGCAAAACATTAAAAACACTTCCCTTTTCGTGCAAGCGTTGCATGGCCAGTGCTGCGTGATAAACGCTGCGGTACTTAGTATAACTTATGTATGCCTTTTCTAGTAAAAGCCGCACATACAGAATATATACGTGTTGTTAAGGTGCATCAGATATTCGCGACAACTGCTTTTTAATTGACAATCACACAAGTATGAACGCTGAATCTTAAGCAACATTGGTGGGCGCAACATTAGTGGGCCATTTGAGATATCCACTATTGCCGTTTAAAACGCCCAGTACCGTCAAGGGTGAACAAACTGACAAATGGACAGACAGACAGACAGACAGACAGACAGACAGACAGACAGACAGACAGACAGACAGACAGACAGACATATCAAAGTTTTTGCGTCGAAGGTCCTTAAGAAAGACTATCGTCTTTAAAACAATGTGTAGAGATAAATATTTTGTGCAAAGGCCGGGAGCTTGGCCACAACTACCCTCGTGAATAAGGAAGTGGTTCTCGGTTATTTTTTTTCTGGTGTTTTGCTGCTGATTGCATTGGTCGTTCGTGTCTTCCTGACACTCCTCCGTTTGGTCATTACGCTGACATTGCAGGTTTTGGTGCCACAGAACCCCACCACAAGGTGGTTCCTCATTCAGCGCTTTAAGGAGAAAGTCGATCATTTCGCTGCAATAAAAGGCAGATTTCGTGTTGAAAAAATGCGTACATGATCATTTTGAGGTCGAAAAACATTACGCAGATCTCACGTACCTCGGAATCGGTGGTATGCGAGGCATGTGGAGGGAAGGTGACCGTGTGGTGAATTTTTCGCTGAGCGACACGTCATGAAATGACGCTAAATATATATACAAATGTTGCACGCACCGACATATGTTGACGAGTTGCAGATGTTTATATAACCAGTTGTTCGCCCTTGCGTAACAATACCGACAAGAACAGGCGCATTAGCAACACCAGAAGCTGATATAAAGTGCTGATGCTCGCGAGAATGATAGCTCTGGACACTGCTGCATAAATCTACTTTAGCGCATGGCAACTAACCACAATTGACGGTAACCTGATGTGACGGCTGTATCAAAGGAGTACATATGTTGTGTTTATAAAATTTGGTAGGCCGCGCTGCACCCACTGATAACGTTTCACGAAGATTAGCATCTATTTGAAAAGTAATTCTGCGGCCTAGCGTAGCTCTATGGTAAAATGCCTCATTGCCACGCAGAATGCTTGGGTTCGATTCCAGCTGGGAGACTGATATTTATTCGTTCGATTTGTCCGGTCGTCGGCACCGATGGCTCGTACTTCTTCGCGTGTTGAAATTGCCCATGTGTGTTCTCGTCGTTCCTAAGCAGATATAAGTGTCTATCACCTGTGGCACATACCCACATACCAGCGGCACATAGACGCTCGTGGGTATGCGCTACTGTCTGGCGGGAAGCGTTTGACGACGTACGCTACGGGACTGTGACATTATTCATGTCTTGACCAGCGCGTCATATTCGTCAAACCATTTTACCCTCGCATGCTAATTTTGGTTCCCACCAAGTTAAGAGGGTGACCACGAGAGTGTCCAAAAGTAAGCGGCTGGATAGATAGATAAGCTTGATAGATAGATAAGGCTGGATAGATAGATAGATAGATAGATAGATAGATAGATAAGAAATGCTTCACATTTAAAATGTTGCGGAGATTGTCCTGAGTGCAAGAAAAAATGGTGCCCAGATGTTTTGCTTGTTTTCCACAGTGTTGTAGTTTCCTGAAAAAGTGACCACGTGCAAGCATTTTGAGATGCGTGGTGCATTCTCGCAGCAGTGATCTTTTGCCGCCGGCCTCATATCGTTCATACACCGATTTTGGTGGAAAGTCAGCCCAACTTCTACTGTAGCTGTTGATTATTCGCCGGTTCTGGCCTTGATTTCGCGTGGTTTTAGAAGCAATGATGTTTCAGTCCGTAATATAGTCTTCAGGTGGCATGGCGTGTAGTCGGCGTACCAGGTGCGCTAGCGTCACGCGTTTAACGACTCTATTCGGAAGATACGTCGGTTCGCCTCGTAACGCCACATAAATCGCTGTAGCCGGTTCCGCATAAACTGGTTTGAAGAACAGCGTTTGTCACAGTGCGCAATATGAGCCCGGATTTCTCTTTTCCTCTTGTGCAGATCCGTGGCAGCCTACTCCTGCTTTTGACCTTCGCCATCTTCGCTCAGGCGTTCGGATATGCTCCAACGTACCGGTTTCGCTTCCTGAAGAGTGCTGGCCGTCCCCCAAAGCCCTTTAAACCAAATCCCAAGCCTCCGCAGCCGACAACCCGGTTCATCGGGCCAGTAATTTCTTTTAGAGCCGCGCTTCCTCCGGTCCTTGGATTAAGGCCAATGGCGATGCCGATGCCGATGCCAATGCCGATGCCGATTCCGATGGTACCCGCCCCTAATTTCATAGGACCCAATCCTGGCGGGCTAGTTGCGGCTTTTGTGACACCAGCAGTAGGAGCTCCCAATACTGCCTTAGGCTTCGTGCCAGGGCCTCTCGTTCCTACACCACGCCTCGTGCAGCCCGTCATTTCTCCACACCAGAACTTCACGCTCTTGTCGAAGCACTCCTCAGGGCCAAGTGTGACGGCCACGGTGTTCCGTGCTCCCGGAGGCCTCTCTGCCACTAGTGTGCAGCGCGTTGAAGGCACGTCCACCTCGCTCTTCCGTGAGTCCGACACTGCCGGCGCCAAAACCACCACCACTACCAGTACTCGCAAGTCTCCACCTCTGGTTCGCGTGCCGGTACTAGGTACTGCGCGCCGCATGGGGTTCTTTCCTGTGGTTGATCCTCCCATACATTATTTCGTTTACGAGAAATAAAGACCGAACGCCTCTTGCTGAACATGCTGCGTTCTTGTTTGCTGGAGAAATTAAATCATCACGGCTGCTTCTTTCCTGCACTTGTGCTCCGTGGAAATTGCACAGTTGACAAGCTAACTCTGCCACAGAATTGATCAGAGGAAGCAACAAAAGGGAGAAGGCAGGGAGGTTAACCAAAAGGACATCCGGTTGGCTACCCTACACTGGGGGATTAGAAAAAAGGGCGAGAAATATGAGAAAGAGGGAAGAGAAGAAAAAAAGAGCTATATGTTTAGAAAAGGCAAACTATATAGGATAGCCTTCAGAGAACAAGACTTTATGCTGCTTTCTTGAATGCCGAAAAAGGATGACGACGGCACCCATGCACGTACGCGGTGCCTTCATGCACTCATGAATAACTTTGGCAAACAAAGCGACTACGACTAGGAGAACTAAAATAGTTTACCTAATAACGTTGTAAACGTTTGTATAGCTGTCTATGACGCATGATTATGCAAGAAAACTGAAAGCAATTATTGGTGAACTGATGTTGATTTGATGTCATGCTTCTGAATTGGTCCTAAATATTCACCAGAAATCCTAGCATTCAGTCTGCTCATTCCATTCACACAACAGCAGGTACTAGAAAAAAATATGTCTCTCATATGACTTCCAGGAAAAGGTTTGCTTTTTCATCAATGAGAGCAGAAAGTCAGGGTTGAACCGGGGCAGCAGAGGTGTGATTGGCGTAGAGTGTGGGACAATGTGGTATTATTACAGTTTCACCTTACAACCTCACGAAGCTTTGGACAAAAACTTGCCGTTGCCTTGTATACACATTCTCAAAGGAGAGGAAAAAAATTGGCCCCGTATCTGCACGTTACACTGGAAATGTCGTCGAAAGACGATAGTCTTGTGCGTGGAGAGTGAACAAATGTCTATTTGATGTTCTACGCAAAAAAAAAAATTGGTGACTGGTGTTTTGGAGGCGCTGCGTTAGAGTGCCTCGAGCATGCAGCGGAGGTGAACAACCGCATCAGGTTACGTCATACGTGAGACATGAGCGCAATATGACCGTTATCTTGGAAAACAGAGCGTGCAGCACACGTGCCCGTCTCGGAGGCCTTAAGGAGTAAACCGCAAGGCAACGTGTAGGTGCCACCACCGTGTCGTGTTAGCAAAGCGTTGACAACACTTGCCTATTCGTGGAAGTGTTTCGTCGTCAGCGCAGAGCGATAAGCGCTGCGGTTCTTAGAATTACTTATGTATGCCTTTTTCAGTAGAAAAAGACGCATACAGAATATATACGTGTTGTTATGGTGCCTCAGATGTGCGTAATAATTGCTTTTTATTTGACAATCGCGGAAGTATGAATGCTAAATCTTGAGCAATAATGGTTGGCGCTGCTGATGGGGTCGGCCATTTGTGGTATCTTTATGGGTGGACAAACAGACAATTGTATAGACAGTCTAACAGACAGACCAAAATTTTTGCGTTGAAGGTCCCTCAGAAAGACTATCGTCTTTAAAAAACAGCAACTTGCTGTGCTGTATGCTGGTGTACAAAGGCTGACGTCACAACTTCGGCATTACACTTTCAGGGTGTCATGTCTGTTAGAGCCGGTAGGATGAATAATTGTGGCGCTTTGGAAGCCTCTGGGGAAAAGTCTACAATATCAGACAACATTCGCCAGAGACTGAGAGGATATGGTCACTCATACATAAGCAATTCGATTTGTCAATAGTTTTATTATGTTCGTGAACCTCGTATGCTTCGCAAACAACATTTAGCTAGCAAGTGGGGGAATTGTTTTATAGGAGTACTAATTTTTCTACATCCACAACAGTGTGTAATGAACGCAAGTACACAACTCGCCTACTACCGAAACACTACAGTAAACGAAAGTAATGTACAACAACTTTGGAAGAGTGGAGCGCTTCGAGATAAATAATAGTGCACTTCAAGTTGTAAAAGACTATGTATACTTGGGGCAGGTAATGACCGCAGAGCCGAACCCCGAGTTGGAAGTAACTAGAAGAATACGAATGGGGTGGAGCACATTCAGCAAGCACTCTCACATTATGACAGGTGAATTGCCACTATACCTCAAGAGGAAGGTATATACCAGCTGTATCTTGCCGGCACTTAGCTACGGAGCAGAAACCGGGAGACCTACAAAGAGGGTTCAGCTTAAATTGAAGACGGCGCAGCGAGCAATGAAAAGAAAAATGGTAGGTGTAACCTCTGGAGGCAAGAATAGAGCAGAATGGATTAGGGAACAAACGGGGGTTAAGGACATCACAGTTGGAATCAAGAAGAAGAAATGGACGTGGGCTGGGCATGTAGCGCGTAGACAGGATAACCGCAGATGACATTAAGGGCAGATGACATTAAGAAGTTTGCACGTATAAATTGACAGCAACAAGCAAAGGACCGAGTTAACTGGCGGAACATGAGAGAGTCCTTTGTCCTGCAGTGAAGGTAGTCAGGCTGATGATGATGATGATGATGATGATGATGATGATGATGATGACAGAACTCGCACCTTTACAGGAGGTGATACCTTGCGTACAAGGCACAATTTTGAAGATGTAAAAAGTGAGTTTATATCGAAGTATCTAAATCGAAAGCCGGCAATCGACACAAACTCATATGACACATAGGGTCATATTGCATTATTAAGACAGCAAGAACGAGGTAAACAAGCTGCGACGATTGCTTACGAACTGCAGAAGAGCCATAGTAATACAAATATCTCGAGTTTTTCTCCCTAACAGGATGATACAAGCATTAGGCAAATGGTATATTGGATATGCTTCGGAAATTTCAGCCACGTGGACTTCTTTATCGTGAGCCTAAATCCAAGAACACGGGCTTCTAGCAAATAACGTTTGTCGAAATGCTACCGCCACGGTCGGGACCGTAGACGCGGCTTACTGGTTAGCAGCCGTGCACCCTTACCACGGTACCACGGGTGCATCAAGAACTAGGGCTATGGCGATTGATTACAGAGCCGTATAAATTATTATTCATAATTTTATGGTCAACACACACCATATCAAAATTCTCTTACACAATTAGAATAGTTAATTAAAAGAATGACGCGCGCGGCCTTGCCAGCAAGATCACATCTTCCGCGACGGAAACGAATACTGGATCGGCTGGAGTGGTAGACGGTAGATATTAAATGTCAAAACGCTTACTGTGGCGGCCCGCTTGAACATGTGCCAGCTGCAATACTGAGTGCGCAACAAGAGTGCATAAAGAACACAATGTGATTTTTCAGCTGAATGCCGATAGCTACTAGGCGAATCAAGCTGGTTTTGGTCTAAGCATTCCACCAATAAAAAAAACCGCACAGGGTACCTCGCCCCATCACTTAAGACGACTGGAAGACAAAGTTAATCTTTTTTCTGATCTAGCCAGGAGCTTTCTGAACTCCAGAAGCTTTCAAACGTAACGTGGTTTTACACTGCCTCAAAAATCGGAAGTATGACACACTTTTTATCCTTCACGTGGGTGGGCACAGCCTCCGTGATTCGTCCTCCTGTAACCAAGAGATGATGCTATGCGAAGGCGTCATCATCGGATGTGCTGATGTAACATTACCATGTCACATCATAAATCACGTGGGCACGCAGTGCCTTTGTGGCAACACCATGAATCATAGAAGACGCTGCTGCCGTGGCATGTCGTTTCGTTATTTTTGCTTTCCCGATTGCATCGTGCGCATGCCCTTGGTCATTCTTGCGAGTTAGCACAGTGTTCACATGGAAGGTGAATGGTGGCAAAGCTCGTGTCAAGTGCCTTTTGTTTCATGCAATTACTGAATGCCATCTGGCTTGCCACAGGCAATCATTATAATAGAAATGTACTTAAAAACTATTTATGGTGTCTACCCTCTCAACTATGCCAGCGCGTTCAAACATCATTAACTGTACAAAGCCATATCAAAGAAAAAACTGAAAAGGGAATACATTCAGTGAGAAAGGAAGAGAGAAAAAAAGAAGGAAAATGCGTAAAAATAAAGGGAGAAAAAAGCTGCGAAATCTGCAAGAAGAAATGACAAGGAAGCGAAGAAGGGGAAATCAGAAGAGAAGCGAAGAAGCGCGTCCAGCGTCGCACTTGCTTCGGATCGGCTGGCACAACCATGAATGAGACCGTCCTAAATTATTTAATTTTATATAATTGAAAGGGACCCTTAAGCAATCTTTGCAAATTCAATCGAACGTGAAAGCAAGTTCCTTTTTCTTGTTTAGTGTAGTGTTATAATAGGATCCCTTCAATTTCTGCACAAGCCTGAATTTCGCATGGCTTACGACATCCGAACACCTACTATCTAGTAGCTATGTGCAAGGCGTTCCGGGTTTTTCGCGTATGAGGACGCCCTCCTGGGACGACAGCTTACGTGAAGTCCCGATGACTCCGCGAAAAGTGATGACTTGCGGTCCGTCGTGTCGGCATAACGAGACTTCCTGACGCAGTGATAATATTTTTTATTTTGCAGCATTCAAGGTCACGCCCACTCCGTTGGTAGTTTTTCTCGTTTTGTGAAGCATCTAGGGCTATCGCCTCTGAATAATAATAATAATAATAATAATATTAATAATAATAATAATAATAATAATAATAATAATAATAATAATAATAATATTAATAATAGTAACTACCGTTTTACTTCCCGAAACTGCAATACGAATATGAGAGACGCCTAGTTTGAACGCTTTCGATATTTCGACGATCTGGTGTTCTTTAACGTGCACTGACAGTCACGCTTCTCGAGACTAAAATAAAGTTCTGCTATCCACCTTACGATACACGGGCCTCTACCACTTCGCCTCTATCAAAATGAGACCGCCATGGCCGGGATCGAATCCTCGACTTCCCAGTCAGCAGCCAAGCACCCTAGCCACTGTTCCGTCAAGGATGATTGTGACTCAGACTAAAAGCGCGGAGAAAGTGAAGCCATATGTGCCAGAGGGCAGGTAAGGTGCGAATGCCCAGCTGGTTTTAACACGAATGCGTTATTAAGCTCCTTTCACAGAGATTCTGGTGCCAACGTCATTAGTTC